CTATGCGGAAGTTTCCGATCGATAGGAAGTGTTCCAGTGGCACATGATACTAGAAAGGGCATCGGCAAATGAACCGAAAGCTCATTGGGAAGTCCTTTGAGAAGCTTGGAGGGAATCTCGTCTGGTCTTTGAGACTTCCATTCGTTCAGTATTCATTTTCTCTTCGGATGAGATTTTCTGAAGAGCTTACCACTTACGCTTGGAGTCGGCAGTTCATCTGTGTAGGGCGGGAGGAAGCTTGACACATTTATGTAAGCTAAATGGAAAACTATGAAAATACGCAGTTTTATCCCTGCTATCGGCAGTCAGAGCGCCATCGCCATTTCTTATTAACGGACTTTAACGTCTGATCCTTCTATCTCTTCTAAGGTAGCTGAAGAGTATAATTCAGTATATTTTAGTATGTATAAAGGAGATAGGCATAGCCTTGGAAAACCCTATTTACAGACATAGACTGAAAAAACGCACATAGGTTTACATATATATGGGTAAATTTTATCACTTCTTGCTAAAAAAATACAGGCCATCATATAAAATGCCATCAAGTCTTCGTTTATATGTCTCAACGCTTTCCACCCGAACAACTGGATCGGGTATTTTGCTCCAATCCTCAATCACCCAGTGGGAGAAAAAATTCGCCTCCACTTCAAGCTAGCCGTTCCTCATAAGGTAGTCTCTTCAGCCAACCGATTAGTTTAGTCGCTCTTCGTTGCACCTTCTCCAAGAGAGTGCAATCTTGCTTCATCCTGGGGCGCCATGATTGAATGCCGTATTTCAAAATCGCTCCGGTAAATATTCCAGATATTCGACCGAAAAGCTCTTCGTCGAAGTCGGGAGAGGATCTCCTGATCTCTCCTAGGATGCCCATAGCCTTCTTCGCTATCTTGGAGCAGTGAAACGAGGGTTTGAGAGTGGACTTCATGCACTCATCAAGATCCTTCAATTGATTTAAAAGCTCCAGTTCGTGACTGCCGAGGAAATACGGATATTCAGATCCCAAATCCATTTTGTAACTAGACATTAGTCTGATGAATTAACATTTTTTCAGTTCAGTTCAGTTTATTGAGGGAAATAGGCGTAAGCCTTTGAGTACCCTATTTGCAACGTAAAAAAATATGTGGTGTACAGATAGATGTTCTGGGCTGAAATAGTTCGAACACGCCCATAATGGTGGGACAAAATGAGAAGGAGTTACAGGGGGTGAGCTCGACTTCTCATCGCTCTTGGTCATTTCGGAACATAAATATGTCCACATTCTTCTTAAAACTTTGTATAGATGGTGACATCACAACATCTGCGGGAAGTTCATTCCACGGTTTGACCACCCGAACCGAGAAGGAGAACTTCCGCACATCCAGCCGTGCCTGCTGAGTGCGCAGTTTTAACGGGTGACCTCGGAGGTTGGTCGTGGTAGCAAATTCAAAAAAGTCCTCGAAGGCCAGACTGCAATCCAACCCCTTTACAATGCGGAAGGCTTGCAAGAGATCTCCGCGAAGTTGCCTGTAACTCAAAGGAAAGAGGTTCAGATTTACTAGGCGGGTCGCATAAGGAAAGGAGCTTTGACCCCTGACCATCTTCGTGGCTCTCCTCTGGACTCTTTCGAGGCAGTTTTGATCCACAACACCCCAGGGCCTCCAAGCTTGTATGCCGTACTCTAAATGCGGCCGGACGAATGTTCCGAATGTCTTAGAGAAGGCTTCTTCGTCAAAGTCCATAAACGCACGCTTCATGGCGTACAGTACGGACATTGCGCTTTTGGCCACCGTCGAACAGTGGGCGGATGGTTTTAGGGAACTCGTCGTAAGCACACCGAGGTCCTTTTGGGCTTCGACCTCTTGTAGGGCTGCACCGCCCAGAAAGTAGCCTCTTGTGCTGGCGGATCTGGCTGTGTTGCCTAGGCGAAGTATGCTACATTTGGCAACGTTGAACCGCAGGAGCCAACGGTTTGACCACTCCTCCAACCGATTCAGGTTCATCTGCAGTCTGTCTTCATCGGCAGGACCCCGAATTACGCTCCATATCTTCATGTCATCCGCAAACATTGCTACTTCACAGTCCAAATCTCTTGCGGCATCGTCCACGTAGATAAGGAACAAAATGGGTCCCAGTACTGAACCCTGGGGGACACCACTTTCGACCATAGTCGGATCTGATTTTCCCCGACCGACGCACACAACCTGCTGTCCACCCACAAGGAAGTTTTCGATCCATTTATGGAAGTTGCCACCGATCCCTATTTTTTTCAGCTTATGCAAGAGCCTTTGGTGTGGCACAGTGTCGAAAGCCTTCTGGAAGTCGATGAAGGCTATGTGGACCGCGTGCCTGTCGTCGAGAGCTTGGGTCCAGCTCTGGAGAGATTGCAGCAGGTTTGTCGTGCAGGATCTTCATTTTCGGAACCCATGTTGGCATTTCGATAGCAGGCCGTGAACTTCCAGGAATTGCATTAGTTCACACTTTATGATCCTTTCCATAACTTTGCAGAGAATGCATGTCAAGCTTATGGGCCGGTAATTTGTCGTCGCTGCCCTGTTACCTCCTTTGTGTAGCGGAGTAATATGCGCCAGCTTCCAATCGGCAGGAAGTGTTCCAGTGTCAAATGACGTTTGAAAGAGCATCGACAAAGGCACAGAGAGCTCACGGGCAAGTTCCTTCAGAAGCTTGGATGGAATCTCGTCTGGTCCTGGCGACTTCGATTCGTTCAATGCCTCTAATTCTCTTCGGACAATGCCTTCTGAGAAGAGTATATCACTGACGCTTGGAGTCGGCAGTTCTTCTGTGGAGGGAGGAAGGAACCTTGCCTCGTTTGTGTAGACTGATTGGAAAAACCGTGAAAAATACGCAGCTTTATCCCTACTATCAGCGATCTCAACGCCATCAGTAGTGTTTATCAAGGGGATTTGATGCCTGTTCCTTGTAGTTCGTCGGAGGTAGCTGTAGAGCAATTTTGGGTTCTGCGTTGCTTTTTGTAGCAAGTTCTTCTCGAATTCCCGCCGCGTCTGAATTATCAGCTTCCTCAGTTTGTTCCTCTGTGTCTTGTAGGTGTTGAAGCATTCAGCTTGTCTAGTGACGCAGTATTTTCTCCACAATTTGTGCTTCCTGTTGATTTCTTTTTTGAGGTTGCTATTTAGCCACCCAGGGCGTTTGTTCAGTCTTACACTAGTCAGTGGGCAGTGGTTGTTGATGAGCTGCAGAAGGACATTCTTGAACAGCTCCCAGTCATCGTTGGCACTTCCCGTAAATTTGGTATCCAGGCAAGGCTACTTCGTTATCGCTAATATTCTCGGACAGCCAGGTCTCAGTTACTGCTAAAACATCTGGAGACAGCTCAACAAGGCAAAGTTTTAGTTCGTCTAGTTTCGATAGGAGGCTTTGAGCATTCGTGTACAAGCACCTCAGTTTAGCACCAGCCGAATTTCCCGTTGCATTTGTTACTGCTGTGAGCATTACTCCGTTATCGCGGACGTCGTGTTCTCTAGGCTCTTCCGTTACCTGATTGGTTCCATTTGCATACCTTGTTTCAGTCAGATCACTGGACGCTACGGGCTCACTTGTGTTGGCGCCTTGATCAGGTGGTTCAACGAAGGTGTCTGTTTTAGCTGAGTAGCTGTCGTCGTTCGTAGTATTACAGGCTGGTTCCACTGAAACGGCATATATTTCCGAACTACCTTCCCCTTGAAAATAGCCAGATTGTGTTCGCCATCCTTCAGTCTTGATTTTAACTCCAAGCAAAGTTCCCGGCGTTTCAACCGTTCCGCTGGTGAATAGTCCGGTTGAAAAAAACCTGTTTGTGTGTGTTTCTGAGATCGGTTTTTTTAGAGAGGATAAACTTGATTTGCTCTTTGTTCTCCAGCATAATTTTGAGAGGGCGAGGTGGCTGTGCTACTGTCCTGTCTTCACTCCTTTTTCCTATCCGGAATGCTTGCAGAACCTTTATTTCCATGTCTGCGGGCAGAAAATGATTTAGCAGACCATGAAAAGAAGCAAGGTCCTCTGAGACACGGTCTTCAGGTCTGACTGCATTCGATTCTGAAAACCCTGAATAACCAGACACTGCTGGCGAGCATGGTCCTCCTTACTCTGTCTTTCCGGTGAATGCGCTGCATGTGGGCGAGGACGATTTACGGAGTCATCGCCTGGACGCACACTTTTACTGTCTACCGACTGTCCCGAGCAACCCATCAGGGCTGGCTGGGACTTCAGAATCCTGTCATGGCGTTTCCCTCTCCCCTCTACCCACTGGTATATGTCTTCAAATTTGTTGAAATTGGGGTTGAGAAGCCATTCATCACAATATTGTTGTAGTCGATCTAAGTTTTTTTGCAAGTTTAGCTCATCCTCTGGCTTTTCAGTCGAACTCCACATATTCCAATCGTCAGCGAACATTACCTTCTCTCAGGTTAGGCAGTCAAGGCAATCGTTAACATATATCAAGAACAGAATAGGACCTAGGACGCTCCACTGTGCAACACCGCGGTGAACGAAATCCCACTCCGATTTGGCAGCGCCAATGCAAACCCGCTGGCGTTGGCCTGTGACAAAGTCGGTCAAACACTTGAGAAAGTTGCCAGTCACAAACATATGGCGCAGTCTATATATGAGCCGTCTGTGTCGCACCCTGTCGAAGGCTTTCCTGAAGTTAATGTTGTTGGGAGTGCCTACACTCCCAAAAACAAGAACAAACAAATCCCTGGAGATCATGTGCGTTTGCTCTCTCTCTACAGTGCTGTCATCTCAGTCAGGCGCCTTCCCATTGGCTACTCTCCTCTTTTCGAAGGTCATTGGACCGAATGCCGGCGAACCACGGTAGCGTGTTATAAATATGCGTCACACTTAGCTAGTCGCGACTTGCAGTGGTTTCCTTATACACATTCCGTGGCCAGCCGTGTTTTCTTTGTCTGCTGCTTTGATATTCGGGACCAGGGTCGAGTGCGTATATGCTCCACGGGATTTCACGTTCCAGGCGGGTCATAACAAATTGGCGACGCAGTTTTTCAACTACAATGGCTGACGAGTACGCAGACTTGAAGCAGATGTTGCAGCAGCAGCTGAAGCTAATGGAGGCACTCACCGTTAACATGTCCAAATCGTCCATGGGTCAATCAAGCGCGGCAGGTGGTTCGCAAGCTGTTGATCACATTGCCGGCAGCATCACTGAATTCTTGTTTGACCCGCAGGCCCATATCGCCTTTGATTCCTGGTACAAACGATACGAGGACGTGTTCTCCGTCGATCTGGCTGTCCAGGACGATGCACGGGAGGTTCGACTCCCTCTTCGCAAACTGGGTGAGGCTGAAAACGAGCGTTATGCAAACTTCATTCTCCCCAGGAATCCCCGAGAAGTCGCTTTCAAGGACACGGTTCAGACGTTGTCGCAGATTTTTGATGAGCAATCATCCCTCTTTAACACTCGATTTCAGTGCTTGCAACTGTGCCAACGAGATTCCGCTGACTTCATAACGTATGCGGGCATTGTTAATTGTGAGTGTGGGCGTTTCCAACTCGGTTCTCTTACTAGAAACCAGTTTTGATGCCTTATATTTATCTGCGGCCCCCAGTCCCCCAAAAATGCTGATATCCGGACACGTCTCCTGTCCAAAGTGCAGCAGAACAACTCTACCACACTCCAAGAGCTGACAGCAGAGTTCCAAACGCTGATCAACCTCAAGCACGACTCTGCACTGATTCAGAACCCTGCCTCATCTTTCTCAGTCCATTCGGTCACACTGACCAAATCTCGGCCCAAGCAATGTCCAAGGCGAGATCTCCGCCATCTCCTTGTCGGCACTGTGGCGCATGGCATTTCCACCGAGATTGCACTTTCCACCAGCACCGCTGCCAAATTTGTAATCAGGTGGGTCACCGTGATGGGTTCCGCAAATCAGTACCAACTTCTGGAGACAAGCCAACCCACACCACTCCTAACTCCAGGCACCGATTCCGGCCACAACGCAAGCCCAAACCCCAGTCCGTTGGTAATTCTTTCAAACTCTTGGCCACTGTCCAGCTCAATGCGTCTGGTCGTAGAAAGTTTGTTGACGTTTTGTTCAATGACCATGCAGTTTGCCTACAGTCGGACACTGTCTCAGATATTACCGTCATCTCTAAGAGACTCTGGCAGTCCCTTGGCAGCCCAGCGATGCAGCAGATTTCCCAGTCAGCCACAAGCGCGTACGGTAGTCTCGTACAGCTAATTGGGCAGCTGCAATGCTGTGTGTCGTTCCATGGTACCAGCATTACTACGATCTGCTACATCACTAAGTCTGATCTAAAAATACTTGGTCTTGACTGGACTGAACAACTTGGGTTGATCGATATGCCGCTCCGCGTTGTTTGCAGTCAGGTGCAGATTCCCGCTGTGCTTGCAGACCAAGCCAAGGACATTCTCCAACGGTTTGCTTCAGTGTTCCAAGACGACCTGGGTCGTTGCACATACACTCAAGCCGTGATACATCTATCTCCTGGAAGTCGACCAGTCTTCAGTTCAAAGCGCCCAGTCCCATATGCAGCCCTACCACTTGTCGAGGCTGAGTTGAAGCGTCTAGAGGAATTACGAGTTCTGGTTCCTGTATCCTACGCCGCCTGGACCGCTCCAATCGTTGTGGTTAAGATGCCCAATGGCTCGGTCCGGACCATCAATACCCACCGCGATTTGTTCCGATACACCAGGCTGCCCTCTGGTGTCAAGACCGCCCCGGTCCTATTTCAACAAACGATGAACGCAATGCACTCCGGCATCCCTGGCACAGCTAGGTACCTGGACGACATCATCATCATCATCATCATCATCGTGGATCACTCCCCTGCCGAGCTGCAAGGCCGAGTGTGCGCAGTACTCGAACGCGTGCAGGAGTATAAATAAATAAATTTTTATTTAATGCCAGTTTACAGGCATTGTCAAGGGAAGCGATTAAACATAGATCCGACCAGCAGTGAAAAAAATCTTGAGCTAAAGGGATAAAAATACAGTTAATGGTGGTTTTTATGGTTTGGAGGGCTCAGGAGAAAAAACTGCAGGCGGTGGTAGAATATCGACCGT